CTAATTTTGAGTTATTTAGACACAATTAACACTTATAGTTACCCTAACCATAACAGTCTTGTTACATAAGAATAGATCATATTTGTCAAGTGATATTATGGGAGAATTACTTTTCCTGTGGTACTACTGCCTTAAGTTATTAGGCGCATATTGAGCAGCGCATATTAAGACCAAAACTCATGTACAACAACTTCATTACTTGCAATAAATAAGCACTAATTAGAGGGTTATTGAGGAAAAACTCTCAACTAATGGCCTATTACTTGTAGAATATGGTCATGTCGAATAAGGCATTAATAAATGTTTTATAATGACTAATAAAGGGCCAATATACTGCTAATATGCATGTTAATTAACATCTAGTTGATGGTGAATTTGTGTACCTTAATATAAAGTGTTACCTTAAACTTTATTAAAACATTGCAGATCAGGAGGCCATTACCTGTTTACAATCTGAAACAATCTGAGAGATTAAAATGAAACATAAATGAAACAACCATGTGAGAAATAATCACACTTTATTGGATATAGTTTATATTTCAGAAATACATATTTAATTACATTTCATGACCATATGTGACAAAAAAACCTTACATCCTCAATTTTAAGAAGCTGGAAGCAATATTTAGCATTTTTGTCTGAAAGATGCTATATTAACGTAAAAGATGAATATTATTGTTATTTATTTTGTATACAATGTATGAAGACTGGGGTAGTAAAACACAATCAGTGAAAATTAGAAAGACAAATCAAGATAATAGTACAGTTCAGTGTACAAAGGTCAGGTCAAAGAAAATACAGACATTGTTAAGATCCTAGATTTGTATAGCAGTCCCATTTTGCCCATTATTTATCCCTCTTCTCCTATTGGAGTCGGAGAGTGAAAGTCATCTTCTCCATAGAGCGGATATAATTGATTATGCTAATAAGGAGAGCAATATTACAATTACAAATATTAATTGCGGCCATAATAACCTTCAGAAGGTATCACTTTTATCAAGGCATTTAGATATGTTACCAAAGTACAGTCATGTCAGATTTCAGGTGTAGAACATTTGAGATGACAACGTCCACTTCTTTCAGAAAAGGCTTTGCATGTGTACAGGCCCAGAAAATGTGTGCATGTTCTGCAAAAGCAGATCCAAACTCCCTCCAGTAAGGTAGCTGAGACCCACTTAATTTAGATTTTTGGTTGGGGGTAATAAAGAAGCGGGTACGATTTTTCCAGGAGTAGTCTCTCCAGGACAAGAGTTAGTGGAAGTGGTTTGGGTTTCCCATGAGTTTTGTGTAAAATAATTGAGGAAAATTGCTTCAAGTTTCTATCACTAATAAGGTTACAACATGAGAATACTCATACTTATTTTCCATAACTCCTTCTGAGATATGACATATTGCATGGATATCATGTAATTATATTAAATCTATAAAATGTCAGAAAAGTCAAATATATCTAATAGTCTGAGCAGTTACATTACCCCTTGTTTTAATCCACCAACTGACTAAGTCCCAAAGATTGGAAGTGTATGACTGTAAAGGACAAATAAAATGCATACAATTCCATATTTGAGGGAATTTAATAAAAGTTAGCCTCCCAGAAATAATGTCAGACCAATAATAAGTCATACAACTATTTTTCTACATTACTCATTTGAAGATATTCTGAGACAACTTTGCAGCTCACCGTTGTTATTGGCAATAAGATTTCACTGGAGTTGCCTTCAGTGAAATCTTACATTATTTTACAAATTCTTGTCACATTTTATCTTCTCTAACCAAATGTAAGAAAAAAAGCCATAAAAGCAGTGACAGCAGTTCTATTCTAAAGCTCATCCTCCTTGTGGAAAACGTCTCCATCCTGCTGTGTCCTCCACGTCAGTTCGACGTTGTCATCCAATCTCTTGTCCCTTAGTTTCTTTTTGATCTGAGATACAAAACTCCTGATCATTATCACTCAAATAGAGAAATGGCATCTTTATATGCCCCTTTCACACCAACACCGTTCCAGGGCCGGTTCGGAACTTGAGCCTGATAAGCACTGGTTTTTCCTGTTCACATCGCAGCGGAGCAGGTTCTTTTCCCTGAAAACCGGTTCTTACCAAGCTCGAAAAAATAGTCCGTCTTGAAGCAAGAACTGCATTACGTCGGAGGCGGGAGCTCCGTTGGTGTGAAAGGGGCAATTGTGTATTCATGTAGTATAACATAATCCCTAAGATGGCGCCAACCTGTTGGGCTTTAGCAGGTCTTGCCATTCCCCTTATCTCTTCTTTATTAAATGTTATGGCATTTGCAATACTACATTTCTCAGATTTGTAAATAGTATTTATACCTTTTCCTGTTTAAATTGGTGGCAGGTAGGTAAGTTTGTGTTTATTGGAAAAGTTATCTGTTGGTTTTTGCATATAAGTAGAAAACATGCTTTACCTGCACCATGATTTCCTTCTGCACGGCCTCGTTATTAAGATTTAGATTAGAGTTGTTCTTCACTCTCAGCTTTATCACTTTCTTTGAAATAGGCAAATCTTTGAAAAAAAAAACAAAGAAATTGTTTCTTCTAAATCAGCAGACTCAGTTGTATCACTTGCTTTGTCGTGTGCTTTTGCGATTTCTACTTACGTTTGTAGCAGATGAATGGAATCTCGCTCTTACAGCTCCGGGTCACCCATAGTCCACCATTGGAAAGTGCAGCCACACAATTCTCAGAGTGAGGATGACTTTTAGCCCAGTATCTAAAGGAAGACTGAAATCCATCGGACCACTTCCAGGGGTCTCTGTAAAGGCTAACCCGGGCTGGTTCCCATGCTCCAGATACAGTAGATACAGGAGCTTGTATCTGCAACTTTGGGTCTTCATAGGTCTTCTGGTTCTCTGTAATTTGTCTCATACTGGCCAGGTCTGTGTAGTGTGCTCTGCAGTAGCTCTGGGCCTCAGTCCAGTTCATGGAGCTGATCTTGGTGAAGACAAATGTCACACTCGACCCTGAAAATGGACCAGAGTAAAGGCATTCTAACATACAGCCTGCCATCAATGCCACATCTGTGGTGCACATGTATGTTGTGTATTTCTTAATAGTCTCTCTACATGAATACAAAAAATAAATGTTTTTCCACACTAATATTGGGCAAGAAACTTCGGAGTTTTGACTGATAATTAAACCTTGGAGCTCATAAGTGGAGGTAGAAGTATTCAGATCTTATAGAAGCCACATGTAATGACTTTGTGCTTTATTTATAATATTTGGTATTTCTTACGTTTTATAGAGTGGTGTAGTGATGACGTATTTAGGCCAGAATCAGAAATTAGCATTGCAAGGGGCCCCTGGACAAAAAAGCAATGGGATTTCGTAATTGGAATTTGGTATATTGCAAAAAAATTAAGCTCTGTAGCCAACACACGTTTATCATACCTTACATGTTTTATTTAGCTCAATAATCTCCACATAATAACACCACTTTGTGATTTTTGAAGAGCAAATAAGATTGGCAGAAATAAAAATCTAACGTAAGGCTGTAAACAAACTACATTATAGACGCATCACTGTGTTTGACATTATGCATTTAGTAGTTTATTAAGTCACTTGTTAGAAACCCCCATGTTTATGACCAACCCGGTATCACGGCAAGACGTGAACATGTGACGATTTACCATGCTGGGAGACGTGAAGATGTAACGATTTTGTCCCTTCAAACGTGACAGTTACACGGTATTGTTAACCCGCGTTAAAAACCAGTGGAGAAATAACCGGAAATGCCAAGCAAATGCTACCCCGACGTAATGATTTATTTTTTAATAGTCACACTCGATTACGCCGATTTTCTTGTTTCCCCAGCTGGTCGACACCTCTTTTAGCAGAAACAAAGGCTACATTAATGTATTAAATCGATGTTAATCCATGCGTGTGGATCATAGGTGTGGATGCGGAATTAACGGACGTGACGTTGTGCGATTGAGTTGCCAGGCAACAGCTTCGGTTCATGTTAATTTACAAACTCTTCAACTACAACCGTAGTTATATTTAAGAACATGTTAGAAGGCCTCACAAAATACTTTAATGCAAATTAAAATGTAAATGTGAAGGAATGTGTGTATAACAAAATACACCGGTGATAAACGAAACCGGAAACAGACGTAGGGAAGATCCTCAGCTCGATAATTGGATGGTTTAGCCGCAATGCATGCTGGAATTTGGTGTTTATGTGATGTGAAATCTGAAAACGTTTTTTAAAAATAAAATAATACTTTATTCCGAGTGTGCTTGCTTTTCTCTTTGAAATTCATCACATAACGGCATTATAATACACGGTTCGGCTGCATTAAATATTACATATCTGCCGTAATTCTCTATTTATAGAGCCCTGCTGAGAAGACTTCTAGACAAACAGGAAAACTGCCGCCAAAATTGAAAATGTGACGTGGATCATAAATATATAAGCAATTAAACAACATCTTACATTTCTTTTCACATAATACGTCTCCTTGCAGTATCAAGAATACTAACTGACAAGGGGGATTACCTAACTCAGCCTTTCCCAAACTCAGGGTCGTGACCCAAAATGGATCGCGGACCCGTTTTGATTGGGTCGCCAGTTAAATGCATTGCTACACACACGCAGCGCCAGAGCTGATGGCTGCGTTGCAAATACAATTTTTTAATAATTTTTTTGATTTTTTTTTATTTTGAAAATGAAATTATGCAATATAGCATTGTATATTGAATGATTTAATTTTTCTAAATACAAATAAACTAAAAATAAAAGATTGTATTTGTATCAGCTCTGACGCGTCCCCCGCGAAAGTTTTTGCGCTGTCTGTTTATTGTCTGTTGATTAATCCCGATCGTACATGATGGCAAAAAGATGATACAAAGAGGAGTTTTTAAACGTTGGCTTCACAAAAGCTGTTAGAAATGGAGAGGAGCGGCCTCAGTGTGTTTTATGTGGAGAGGTGCTCAGTAACGAAAGCTTGAAAATGAATAAATTGGACCTGCATCTCCAAACAAAACATCCTCTGCATCGGGACAAATCGAAGGATTTTTTCATCTGCAAAGAAGAGTCTTTCAAGAAGCAGTGATTTGACGGCGGAAAAGTAAGTCACTCATTTTAATCATTTGTTTTGTGTTTTTATGAGTTTGTCAGGGTTTGTTGTGAAATTGTTTCGTTAATGCAAAGTTGGATGAAATGCAGACTGAGCCCCGGAGCGGACCGCCAGCTGCGCGCTCTCGCGCGTCCTCTACACGCTCCCGCGAGTCCACTACATTCTGCAGCGGCACAGAGCGGTGTTTCAAAACAATAACCACAGGAAGATTAGAGGGAAAGTGACAGGCAGTATGAGAAGGAAAGCGAGAGAAAGTATCTGCTGTGACTGCTGCAGTGTGATGCACATAGGAATATATATGGGGGTTATTCCCTATCTTTATTCAAGAGCGTGGTCTTTACATTTGAGAGCATACTTTATT